TAATATTGATTAATGAGCAAAACGTCTCTTGACAAGCTTAAAGGTGCAATAGGTGATTGTCTTCAGAAACGTTTTTTGTTGTGCTGGTTGAAAGTCTCTTCACATCCCGATAGCAATCATTAAGTTAAGTGGTCTAAATGTACTCACTTAGTTAACACACCCGATTCAGATAACCAGCTCGTTAGAAGTGAGCTACGCGCATGAACTGTGTTCCGATCGATATGATCCCTGTTTATTGCTCCCTACTCCCTGAGCAGGGGAAATCCGTTGACGTTTACTTCACTTCGGAACATGGACTGGAATTGGGAACCGCTGATGTAGCCTATTGTAGTAATGTTGTTTCTGGTATTCTGATCTGTGAGCGTACATGCGTTCATGGGGCGTGGCTTTGAACGGCGATTGCAGGGAGGGTGGGACGTTGGCTTTCAGTGCTATCAGGCTAAAGTTAGCATTTTCCAAGATCTCCTACTGCACCCTAGTCTAAGCAATTTATGCAACCGGCCCGTGTCTAATAGCACCCTTTAGCCATGCCTCTATTTACAATATAGCATTAATTACAGCATTTGTTTATTTCAGCTGTGGGAAAGCACATGAAATAACTAAAAGATGTTCATCTATTTATTTATTTTATTATTTTTTTTTTTTTAGGAGTTCACAGGCGGCCAGCAGAGTGTTTCTGATTTCAACACAGATGTGGACTCCAAGTATGACTTCACAGCTTCAGAGGAGGACTTTGAGATCAAAGCACATGGAGGTTTGGACAGTGATTCAGTTTTCAGGGAAGCTAACACAGGTGCTGCGCACACATACAGCCAGGCCTCAGGAAAGTCAAAGCTGTTCGAAGGTTACAAGGACCCTACAAGCCAGTTCACCGGACAAACACGATCCTATCATCAGGATCACTCTTCTGTGGGAGGCATCACAGCTGAGGACATTGAAAAAGCCAGGGAGGCGAAGCGAAACTGCTCCAAACCACATAAACAAATGGTACAGGTGACCTTTTCCAATCCTTCATCACCCATGAGTAAATAAATTGTTTTACCTATATATGTCATGCATTACAGAGGATAATAATAGTGGCAATGCAACTTACTTGTTAACCCTAAAGTTAGTAGTTGGTTGCAGTTTATTGAAGACCCCATGAAATGTTTTGAAAAAAAAAGTTTCTGTGTATCAGTAAAAGTTTGTGTTAGGAGTACGCTAACACATATATGACCACTAAACACCACTTTTGTTTTTATGTAGTCTTAGAGCGATTAAACAAATCACAGAATTTATAATAATTTTAAGTTAAGAAAATAGTAATAAAAAAAAAAAGATACTTTGTAATTGGAATCACAACACATTGAAGCACTGTTAATGCGTCTTGTTCTCCACAACTGTCTATAGTATGTCCGTTCTTTATGTAGCTTAGTGAAAGAGCAAGAGAGCGGAAGGTACCGGTCACACGGCTTGGGAGACTAGCGAATTTTGGAGGTAAGGTTACTAAAATTATTATATATTTATGTATATGTACGTACAGTACTGTTCAAAAATTTAGAGCTGGTAAGATTATTTTAATGTTTTTGAAAGAAGTCACCTATGCTCACCAAGGCTGCATTATCTGATCGAAAATACAGTGAAACAGTAATATTGTGAAAATTTTATTACAATTTAAAATAACAATTTTCTATTGGAATATATTTTAATTGTAATTTATTCCTGTGATGCAAAGCTGAATTTTAAGAAGTCATTACTCTAGTCTTCAGTGTCACATGATCCTTCAGAAGTCATCCTAATATGCTGATTTGGTGCTCGTGAACATTTTCAACAAGTTGAGCTGCTTAATATTTTTGTGGAAACTGGGATACTTTTTTTTCGGGATTTTTTTTTTTTTTTTTTTATGAATAGAAAGTTCAAAAGAACAGCATTTATTTGAAATAAAAATCCTTAACATTATAAATGTATTTACTGTTGTCACTTTTGGTCAATTTAATGCATCCTTGCTGAATAAAAGTATTAAAGGGAGGGTTCACCCAAAAATGAAAATTGTCATCATTTAGTCGCTCTCAACTTGTTTCAAACCTGTATGAATACAAAACTGTTGAACACAAAACAAAAAAAAGATATTTTGAAGAATGTTGGTAACCAGACAGTTAACGGTAGACATTGACTTCGATAGTATTTTTTTTTTTCTATACTATGGAAGCCAGTGGCTACCTTCAAATGTTTGGTTACAAACATTCTTTTGTGTTCAGCAGAAGAAAGAAACTCAAACCATTTTGGAAAGAGTAGAGGGTGAGTAAATGACTATTTTCATTTTTGGGTGAACTATTAATTTAAATCTTTAAAATCTTATTGACCCTCATGTGAGCAGACATTAAGTTCACATGGCTAGTTGAATATTTTACACTTACTAACTCTCCTGTTACTGGACTCTTTCATTGGAGGAATAAATTAAGCATGGATTACACTAATTAGGGCATTTCTACAATGCAATTGGTAATTGAAAACCTTTGCTTTTGCATTCAAACCAACAAGCGAAGGCCACAAGACCACAAGTCCCCTTCAGATTTTGCACAGCCTGTGTTGCCACCAAATATATCAAATAGACTTGGTATGTGTTGTCTAATTCTGAAAGACATTGTTTCTGGATTGGTATATTTGGCTTTCCAGACTGCTGTCCTTTCTGGTATTGTTGTTATTCATGCTCTGATCTAAGGCCTGTTCAAGAGAGCTGTTGTCTCTCTCCTCAAACAGCATGTCAGTGCCAGATTGAGGGCTCAAGGTTAATCTGCATTTTTTTTAACCAGTAATATCGTAGACTGGGGCTGCCCCTGCTTTGGATTGGATTATCACCTGTTTCCCCTGAGATAGAGCGTCCCATTCTGGTGTGTAACTTTACCCGCTTTTGTTCTTCAAATGACAGTCTATCAGTGATTTCTCAGAGGACTAGTGCTGAATACAGTTGCAGGCAGCAAATGGATGGATATAGCTGAGGGCTTGGAGTGAAAAGTGCTGTCACATGGGAAAATTAAACACTGGTGGTCACAGTAGCTCTCTGTCACAGGTTTCCACTGACGTGCAATAATTGAGACGTTAAACATATATCTGCTCTCATCTGCTATTGGTGTGTGCGCACTGTGCATGCTGGGTGATATGTTGGAATCCTTGTTATCAGATTGAACTCTTATCCACCACCGTTACAAGAAAACATCTTTGGACACCTGTTTACTACAAGCCCATATGTGTATGCTTGCAGTGACCTGTACATATGACAGGGTACTTGCATTCAACATTCTCTAAGCCACTGAAGCATTTTGGGCTTGTGTGAATTTATAAGGGGAATGTGTTGACAAGTGTTTATGTCTTCTAGGGATCAAAGATACTGAGTCCATTCAAGATGATTTATGTGGCATCCAGTTTGCAAGAGTGTGTTAATATTACATAGTGTCTAAGCAAATTGAGCAGCCATAAACATTACAACAAATTATTGTTAAATATTCAATTAAATGTTTAATTATTAATTAACATCAATATTATCGATATCATCCACTTTATTGATGTTATCATTATTATTATTAAAGTATTTTATTATTATTCAGTTATTTTTAATAGACCTCTTTTTATTATTATTGTTAACAATAGCAAAAATAAGAATAAATTATATAGAATTTAAATGTTAATTAATAATTGATTATTTGTTGAAAGTAATAATAATATTGGTAGTATTTTGACTTATACTAACAGTAGACAATTTAGAGAAAACATTATTTGTGTTTGAATATTGTGATTTGTATGTAGTTGTCGCATTTTAAAGTGGTTTAAAGGGTTCATATGATGCAATTTCAAGTTTGTGAGTGTTGCAAGCTGTTTGTGAATAGATAAGATCCCTACAATTGCAAAGACTAAAGTCTCAAACCTAAAGAGATATTCTTTTAAAAAGTTAAGACTCGTCCACACCCTCCTAAAACGCCTCGTTTAAACACGCCCCCACGTCTACGTCACTGTGTGGGAAGATTTGCATAACACCGCCCAAATGTTCACGCAAAGAAAGAAGGCGTAACTTTTATTCTCGCTGTAGTATTGTTGCCATCGCCGCCATGTCGTGGAGATGCTGTGTGTTTCGTTTTGAAAGCGAAACTACTTTGTTTGGCCTTCCAAAAGAGGACACGACTAGAAATCAGTGGTTAAGTTGTATTTACAACACTCTTCCAGAACAGTTCAAACCAAATATTCAGCTGTGTGCAGCGCATTTTACGGTGGACTGCTTCCTGAATCTGGGAGAGTAGCCTACAATGCTGTGCACAAAGGTTGTTTCTTTAAATTGGGGCAGTTCCAACTTTGCAAGGACAGTATGGCGCTTCTGACTCACAGCCTGTAAGTACGTTTTTAATATTTAAAAATTTGCCCACTGATGATTCAAACGCGAGTTTTGAGCAGTGTAGAGTAGCGCTTGTTGTTTGTCGTTTCTCC